GAGTAACAGTTTCTGCGATGATGAATATCAAGAAAACATATGGATTGGATAAAAAGATAAGTTGGCAAGGAGATCCATGTTCTCCTCAAATTTATCGATGGGAAGGTGTAAATTGCCTTTATTTGGACTATGATCAACCTCTGATTATATCCTTGTAAGTTTTTTTTATTATTATTCCATTTGTTTACATTTTCCTAAGGTCTTTTTGTTTTTTTAAGTTTCGGGGTCGCAGAAATTCTAACTCTTTAAAACATCAGGAACTTGACAACGAGTGGATTGACCGGTACTATATCACCTGATATAGCTAATCTAATACATTTGAGAGAATTGTAAGCATCTGAAACTATTAACTATTAAATACTACAAAGAAACTTAATAATTCGATATAATAACTCTTCAAAAACTTTCTTGTTCTTAAAAAAAAATTTTGACGATGAACAGAGATTTGTCAAAGAATGATTTATCAGGAGAGATTCCAGATTTTCTCACTAATATGAAGATGTTGACACTCATGTGAGTTTCTGTTATTGGATCTTGTCCTTATGTCTTTTTATTTTATTTTTAGTTATGTTCTTGAAAGATTCAATCTTTTTCATTTGCAGAAACTTAAGTGTTAACCCGAATCTCAATCTCACAATTCCAGATTCTATTCAACAAAGGATAGAGAACAAATCTTTAACACTAATGTAAAATGTTTTCACAACTTTTCTTATCTTCGGAGGGCCCTCCATAGTTTTACTAATCTCATTTTTTATTTGTTTTCGTTCATTTTGCATCGCTTTTAATGATTGTAGTATAGATAAGATCCAAAGTCCTAATGACGATAAACCGGGTAGAAAGTTACTGTTGGTTGCTATGGCAGTGTCAGTGGCTGGTGTGATCGCTTCATTTGCTCTAATTACGACATGTTTCATTGTTGTAAGGAAAAGACAGAGAAGTAGTGAAGGTATAATCATGGGATCAGGTCTTAACACTTGTTAAAAGACAAACATTTTTTTTTATATATGTGATTCATTTCATTTTGTTTTTACCATTGCATCAGCTCCAAGTAGGGTTGATAGTGACAAAAGATCATCCACTCAATCAATCGGAACAAAGGAGCGGATATTCACATATTCAGAGATACTGAAGATGACGAATAACTTTGAGAGAGTTCTTGGTAAAGGAGGCTATGGAAGAGTGTATTATGGAGATTTGGATGGTACTCAAGTAGCTGTGAAAATGCTTTTTCATTCATCAGCTCCTCAAGATTATAAACATTTCAAAGCAGAGGTAACATTAAAAAAATAAAAATTAGATACATTAGTCTTTGTTCTTAAAAAATGGGAATTAAGTTTCTAATATTTTTTAGGTTGAACTTCTTTTAAGAGTCCACCATAGACATTTGGTCAGACTTGTGGGTTATTGTGATGATGGAGATAACTTGGCTTTGATTTATGAATATATGGCAAATGGAGACTTGAAGGAGAATATGTCCGGTAAACATTTTATTTCACTAAGAGGCTTTGATTTTGTGGATTTCGTCATAAAAAACAATCGAAAACCGTTACAGGAAACCGCAGTGGACATGTTCTAACTTGGGAAAATAGAATGCAAATAGCTGTGGAGGCAGCACAAGGTGATGAAACAAGAAAATAGAGTTGCATATATTATGATTATGATGTCGAAAATGCAAAGCTGACGTAAAGAATAACCATTATTTTGTAACAGGATTGGAGTATCTACACAATGGATGTATACCTCCTATGGTCCATAGAGATGTGAAAACTACCAACATATTATTGAATGAGCTGTTTCACGCGAAACTAGCCGATTTTGGGCTCTCTAGATCTTCCCCAGTCGATGGTGAATCTTATGTATCCACACTCGTTGCAGGAACACCTGGTTACTTAGACCCCGAGTAAGTAAATCAATCACTAATCTTTCTCATAACAGA